GCACTGGGTGTTATGCACAAACAATGAATCATGGAACACTACATCTAAAACTAATGATGTAATGTATGGGGATTAACATAAGAATAAAAAAAAAACCGCACATTAAAAAAAAAGAAAAAAAAAGAACAAGGGTCTCAAGTATCCCCATTAAATGATCTGGCTTGCTGCACTGTAACCCTCACCCCCTTGTAATTCCTCAGGCCCTCAATCAAGGGTGTTCCTCCCACAGAAACAGTCTCAGGGGTTCTTAGAAATGGACTGAGTTCCTTGCCAGGCTGAAAGAGTGCAGAAGGAAGTGCAGCTGAAGACAGGGAAGCAACTCACGGGTCTGACCCAAATTAGGAGAAGGCAGATCAAAGAGCCAGAAATAACCGAGAGAAACCTGGTACACAGAAACTCAAGAAATCACACAGGGATACAGCCAGAAACCCAAAGAAAGCAAACCTAGTGACTGGCTACTAGAAGGAGCCCGGCTGACACCTCACTTCTATCAAACAGGTCTACTTCATGCTCTAGGTTATGTTTTCAAACTGTGCTCCTCTGGGCCTTGAGTACCCCAGAGGAGCCAGCCTCAGGAGCCATCGTGGAGGACCAAGTCTCACCCGTATCTCACCCGTTACATATTAGGCCTCCATGTAAAGTTCAGCTGAAACAAAGGGGGGGGGGGTAGTTTGTTGCTAAAAAAGATTGTGAATTTTTGAAAACCACAGTTCTGTGTGATCAGGTGTCAACAAAAAGCTTTTAGAAAGGAGGTGTCAGGGTCTGATTTGTGCTCTGGGTCCATTCTAGGTGCCATGCAAACAACCACCGGAAGAAAGGAGAGACCAGAGGATGTCAGCTAAGGTCCAGAATCTATACCAGGGGTCAGAAAGCCACAGCTCCTGGGTCAAACCCACCCACCACCTGTTTTGGTAAATAAATTTTTACTGGAACAGAGCCACACTCGTTCATTTACATTTTGTCTGTGGCTGCTTTCTGCTACAACAACAGGACTGAGTAATTACAACAAAGACCATATGTTCCACAAAGCCCAAAATATTTACTATCTGCCCTTTCCTAGGAAAAATTTGCCAATCCCTGGTCTATACTATCCCTTGAACTTGTGAAATACATTGATTTATAAACTCTAATCCCTAATCCCTAATACTCCAACAGGAGGTAACCAAGACTGCAAATACAGAGAGGTAAAGGAGAGCTCAGAGGCAGGTGGAGGCTTGGGAGGCTGATTCTGCCAACTGAGCCCATGGCCCACGGTCAGAGGCAGGACGAGGGGCTGACCCAGTGGATGAAGGGTCACACACTAAAGGGAAACACTGCAGATTGCTAGAATTACAAAATATCCCAACAGGGGTTTGGGTGGAGGGAAGGTAGTCAGGTACTCTGGGGCATCTGTACAATTCAAAGCAAGGGTCTTCAAAGTGACACAGCCTCAGGAAGGGTCTGAAAGGAACAACAGGAAATTAACCAGACTTAGAACAGACACATAACTTCGGTGCTTGCCAGCCTGGCTTCTGCCACTGTTAGGAGAGCAAGGAAGTGGCAGGTCACATAATAAGTCATCCTTTTTTTTTTTTTAAAGATTTTATTTATTTATTTGGCAGAGAGAGACACAGCGAGAGAGGGAACACAAGCAGGGGGAGCGGGAGAGGGAGAAGCAGGCTTCCCGCCGAGCAGGGAGCCCGATGTGGGGCTCGGTCCCAGGACGCTGGGATCATGACCTGAGCCGAAGGCAGATGCTTAACGACTGAGCCACCCAGGCGCCCCATAAGTCATCATTAAGAAATAAAAATGACTCTTCCCCAATCAGCAACACTTTCAACAACCACAGCCTTCCCCAGTGACAAATGATAGTCTGAGTGACCAGCCCTACCAGGATCTCCCTTCATCAGATGAATATTCAAATGTCACTACGCTCTGCTTACTCAGGCAAGACGGCAAATTACTGTTTAGACCAGGAAACCTTGACTGTGTCTCAAATGCTTAGCAAAGCTTAGCTTACCTTGAGAGAAATGGTTCGCCAAGACCGAGGTCTTCCCAGTCTCGCTGTCTTGCTTCTGGTCTCTCGAGAGGACGGAGGACTTCTCGGACATTTCGCAGTCGGACAATACATGAGACGCAGACGGCTCAGGAGACTCAGGGAGAATGTGCTGGTAGGTTACACTGTCTGCCTCCATCCTTCACCATCGGGATTGAAAGAGAAACCATTTCCCACACTAAGATCCCAAGCCAGGACCAGGACTTGGGATCACTTAAGATTACTAGGCCCTTTATAATTTCCCCGTATTTGCAACTTTGTTTTGGAGCCCTTTTGCTTCCCTAGAGCATTTTATTAGCAAGGAGACTCTAAAAACAAAAAGCGCTTGGAGTGCTTGAGTCTGGAGCCAATGACGAAGGGGGAGCCACTGTCTGACTTATGGGGAGGGGCCCTCCGAGACAGCACGTGTCAATGGCGGCTGCTTAGCAGGTGCCCCCTCTGTACCAGGCATGTTAGATGTACCATCTTACTGGGTCCCCACAGAGACCTGCTGAGGTAGAGATGACTATCCTCCTTCAGACTTGGGGAGCCTGAGGCACATCACAAGCTTGCCCATGGTCTCACAGCTTATATGTGGCAGAGCTCACGCTTGAACTCAGGTCTGTCTGGCTCTGGGACCCCAGGAGAATGTAGGAGGCCAACCCAAACCCATGAAGTGGCCTTATGGGTTTAAAAATCTCAAAATCCTCATGGCCCCCAAGCAGGTCCCAATGCCACCATTCTGGCAATCATCTGGTTATTAACCTGTATTTCCCAAGAGCCACCTGAGCCATGAGGAAAAACACCCTGAACTCGGTGAGAAGCCCACATGAATCTCCATTATAGATAAGCTCCTTAATTTAAGCTCTTTTTTTCTCCTACTTTTTCCTATTACTTCTTGTCTCATTATTCATGAGCTCAGACAAGAGCAAAGGACTCCGAAGCTGCAATGCATTCATTAACAGGTAAACACCAGATGCAACTTCACTCAGACAGCGTGATGGATGCACGGGCTTGCCGCTGCCTTGCCAAAGTGCCGAATGGACCAAGGGCACCCATTTAATTAGCTTAGGAGTGACCTGTGTGAGCGCTAAGCCTACAGCGGAAAAAGGCAGAAGAGAAGGAAAAGAAACCAGCCTGTCAGAGATGGGAAGGGTGACACATGGCTGAGGAGAGCTGAAAGAGGCTCCCTGCCTCCTTCCAGCCCCCTCTAAGCCACCCTGGTCATCTTTCACAACAGCAAATCTGATTTTGTCCAGCCCCAGCTTATCCTCCTTCAAAGACTCCCCTCTTCCTGTAGCACAGAAGCTGAGCACCAGCCCCGTGGTAGCCCCGCGTGCCTCTCCAGCTTTGACCCTCGAGTTCCCTGCACCAGCTCGCACAGGCCATGTCTCCCTCGCCTCGTGCGCAGACACTCTCCGACAATCCCTGCCCCAGGCCCCTCATCCTTTAGATCTCCGTTAAGACTGTCTCCACTCTGGGAGGCCTTGCTTGCCTTCTCCACAGCCTGCCACTGAGATGTGATCCATTATTGGAAGGATGGAAGCAGAGGGCTGAACTGGGAGGGATCTGCAAAAACACTGTGGTGGGAAAGGAGTATTTCTTCTGAGTGTTACAGACACTCTGATGGAAACGTCCTCCGGTGAGCTGTGATGTGTCCCCACCTGCTCACTCTAATGATGCTGTGGCCTTCGTGATGCCAAGAAAGTCTAAAATTCTGGTCTGTTTCTTTATTTTACCCCCAGAAGCCCAAAGGGTCACTGCTCCAAAGAGGAGGGATGTACCCGTAGCCCTCACAACAGGCAGAACCTTTAACAAGGAAACAGAGGGGGGTGAGACCCTGACATTTCCTGTGGGCCATCGAGGCAAACTAAGAAAGTATACGACACATTTATTCCATGAACATTTTTTAAATTCCAACTACATGCCAGATAGCTGGGGCTGGAGCAGGTGTAGAGATATTCAAGACACAGTCTTTGTCCTCAAAAGGCAATATGCAACAATAATAAGAGCCCGGGAGTCTGACAGATTCAAGTTCAAATCCCAGCTCTGCCTCTTAATGTCAAGCATGCAACTCTGACCCTCTGGTTCCTCATCCTAAAGTGGGAACAAGAGTGCTTGCCTGGTAGGATCAGAAAGAATGACCGTGAATGCCTAGGGCAGCGGCTGACACACACCAATACCCCGTTCATGCTAGCTCCTTTCCTCTTTCGAGCAATTCTGGGAGCTGAAAGATAAATGCTGGGTGTACTACAACACCATGTGCTAAGTGCTGTAATGTGATGACATGCCAAGTGCTACGGGAGGAGTAACTGATCCTGGGATGTAGAAGAGAGACGGGGATGTTGGGGGGAGCCAGGTTCATTGCCACATAAACGGACTCTGAAGAAGGATTTCCAAACTACAACAGGAAGAATTTGAGTGTACAGCCTGTGTCCAGCCACGGGCCACAGAACAATAAAAAGTCAGAGAAGACGGAAGCCCGGGAACATGAGAGAAAGGAAGATGGGTCAGACTGAGAAGAGCCTCAAAGGTCAGGCTAAGGCATCAGAAATCGATCCTGCGGGTACCCAGGAGCCAAGAGAAGGAACGTGTCGTCCTCGTCAAAGCACCCGACAGACAGAGGCCAGGACTGGCCCAGAACAACTGAACGAAGGCTGCAGGGCAGACAGCGTAAACGCCTGGTTGTGCGTGGCCACTGTCAGTTTCATAGGTGTTTGTGTTTTACCCACAAGAAGCGGGGAACTAAGCGAACAGGAGGGAGCCAGCGGACCCAGCGGACAAACCGACCGCACAGTCTTCTTCCCCAGTGCCACACACTCACCTCCCCATCACTTCGTTCTGGGGGCTCACGTCCACTTCAACTGATTTTCCTGGAAGCAGAAAGAACATCAAGAAGAAGGAAGACATTAAAAATAAATAAATGATAAAACAAGTGTTCCCTAATAATTTCTTGCTCATACATTTGCAGAGGCCCCCGTTCCATTTGTTTAAACACTCTTCGTAACAATCCCGGATATTTAAAGTAGGATTACCAAGAACACACTCAGACTAGAGGCTCCTCCTTCATCACCGCTCCGGCACCGTTCTAGAAGGGAGGTGACAGCCCTGAATCTAAAAACCCATCACCAAGACGCTGCTGGGTGCGGTTCTTTTCCCTTCTCTAAAAACTCTGACACTAACAGAATATATGCTCGTTACAGGAAATGGGTAACAGAAACAAGGAAAAGAGCGTCACTCTCCTCCAGGTGCCCCCACTCCGGACATGTTATGGATTTCCTTCCATTCTTTCTTCCATGCATTTTGGCATGGGTGACACTGTACTGTGACTTCATCTTCTCCCTTCATATTTTATTGTAAGCACTTTTCTTACTGAATTTGCCTTGGAAACCTAATTTTTAGTGACTGCATTAATATCCCACTGCAGGCATGCACGTACCAGAGTTTCTGCCAGTCCCCTATTTGACATATAGGTCATCTCCAATTTTTCACTTTTATAAATAAATGAAATAAACATCTTTGTACATACAGTGTTATCTGCATTTAAATGATCTCCTTAGGAAAGACTCTCAGAAGTGGGATTAGCAGGGAGAGGGGTGTGTGAGTGCAGCTGAATAAGCCAGGGCCTGCGGCAGGGGAGTGACGATGAGAAATGGCAAAAGAAAACAAAATAAAGCTCAGAACGTAAATAGGCAAAAGGGGCGCTGCTCTCCCCTGCCTGGCGGCCTCTGCTGTTTGAAAGGCGACACAGGAGCCCAGTCTTCACAGAGACTAACAACTTCATGTTAAAAATACTTCAGAACTCTGGAAATTGCAGACTGGGATGAGCTCTTTGAAGAAGCTAACGCGTGGCCAAAGAAAAAAACAAACCCTTCTAGAGCTGCACTTGAAAAATGAGAATATAATTAAACTGCACCCACACATTCCCTTTTCAAAACTACTCCTAAAAGGGAACGTTCTCGAACACCACAGCACAGAGGAAAAGAGCACCAGAGACTCACGCGTTTGCCTTGCGCCTCGGGGTCCCCACCGGCCTGCTCTCTGGGGCCAGTGGGTGTTGCTATCAGGGCTCCCCCAACACCCCAGCAGGACAACCATGGGCACGGAGAGCCATTGCGACACTCCCAGGGCTTGAATGTCACCTGCCGCTGCAGGGCGCTGGCGGGCACTGGGAAGGAGTCACACGGGCCCCCCCAGTATCAGGTGCCAGGCCACAAAGGACAACACCCCGACACCGACGATGTCCTCTGGCCTCACATCGATCACACTGGCACAGTGTCAGGATCTCCATTTTGCAGTGAAGTGTAAATCCAAGAGGTCTGACGTGTCCCCTCTCGTCCTCCGACATCCCATCACCTATTTCACTATATGCTCCAGTTAAGCAAGGGATTTGGAGACACTCCAGAGCCAGCTCGACCACAAGTCTAGGTCTTGATCCTCTTGGTTACATCCTGACCAAAAATGCAGTGACATTTTGGTTCCCCAGAAGGTAGGGAGAGGGTGACAGGCCTCTACCACAGTGGACGGGCTCCACCTCTCTGTCCTCTGCACTCCTCGTCAAGAGGGGAAATTGCCATCTGCTGGGTCAATTTCCAAGATGCTGACTGGAAGTCCCAGGCCGCAAGACCACCGTGAGTGGGCAGAGACAACTGCTGTTAGAAGAACAGCTCAGCACTTTCCATCCCGCACCTGCACGGGGCTGCTCCCTGACATTCAGCTGATAGGCAGACCCTGAGGGTGGGCCATCTGCCCAGCCCGGCCCTCCCACAGGCTTAGGAGTCTACACGTTCTAGCCAAGCACACACAGCATCATCTCCTGCCTCACCGTACCAGCCTGCATCAGGAGCACGGATGCACACCTCAGCAACTTCACTGGGTAGGGGACCACTGGTCTGGGGCGCGCTTTAAGTACCCTGGGACTCCTGACCATAAATTCGTCTTATAACTATCACAAAAACCTCTCTTCAATTCCTAACAAAATCCATGCCCAGAGAATGAAGTGCCCTGAGGCCATCCAAAGTCCAGGTTTCCCGGTCTTCAAATAGGACATCCTGTGAGGAGTCTGTAATGCCTCCACAACAATTATATTCTGCCCAATCCCCTGCCACGAAAGAATTCTTTAAAACCAAATGACAAGTTGTTAGTGTGGGACTCATAGGGCCATCATGACAAGTGATGCACTGAATTCCGTGGTGGAAACTGCCTTCGCACAGGTGACATGGTACCATCTGCCAGGCTATTCCTAAAGCTTAGGAAGCATGTCATGAAGGCGCTGCTCCCATCTTTCAGGCAAATCTTACCGCTACACTGAAAAGCTGTGTAGTAGGTGGCAGTGGGGCGGGGGGGGGGGGGGGGGGGGAAGCCTTTCATCTTTTCAAACAAAAAGACATCAAACCCAAAGGGTCACTGCTCCAAAGAGGAGGGAAGTACCCGTAGCCCTCACAACAGGCAGAGACACTGGCAAGCACAGAGCACCTGTGAGCGATGCACCCAGCACTCAGTCAAGGCTTTGTGCTCATTATTTACTTCTTACAGCTCACCAAGGAAAGCCTTTGATCTTGAACAGAAGGAACATGACCTGACTTTACATTTTGAAAAGATCACGCTGACTATTGTGAGGGAGTGGGCCATGGTGGGCCGTGGGGGAAAGCGTGGACCCTCTGGGGGGCAAGGACTGCAGTAACCTACGAGAGGAGACCGTGGCAAACCGGAGCCGTGGCAGCAATGAGGTGGTGCAAGTTGGTCAGATTTACAACACGTGTTGGTTGAAGGCAGAGCTTCAAAGCGGTGGCCAGTGGGTGGCAGGAGAATGGGTGGCGTCTTCTTAGAAGCCCAGGGAGGAAAGGGATCTCCCCAGGAGAGAGGGGCTGACCACACCCAATTCTGCTGTCAAGGGTCAAGGTGAGGGACGTGCGGCCCAACACTGATGGCCGGGTTCAGCAAAGTGCCAGGTGCCAGAGCCTCGGGCACATGCCGTTTCTGTGGCGAGGCTGGGATGTCGGAAAGCCCAGTGCCAGGAGGTTTGAGAAAGCGGGGCTGGAAAGTCATACTAATGGATATAAAAGAGAAGGACAAAAGTAATGACTTTATAGAGGCAATTTAAATGGATAAAGTGGGCGCCTGGGTGGCTCAGTCGTTAAGCGTCTGCCTTCGGCTCAGGTCATGATCCCAGGGTCCTGGGATCGAGTCCCACATCGGGCTCCC